CTTACTTGCCGATCAATCAAGGCCCTCCTGACACCGCAGCAGAAGCAGTACCAGCAGCAGCAGGAACATGCACAACCTCAGCACGAAGTTGAGGAGTGCATAGCTCCAATCAAACTTTTGTCCCTTGCCCGATGCAGCGAGATGAAAGACTTCACCGTCCTGGCCAACGCAAAAAAGACGCTCGTGAGACCGCATTCTGTACTGCTCTTTGCGCTTCATATTGACGCCTAGCTATTGTTGAGAACCTGCTTCTGCTGGGGCATTTGGGGTCGCTGACAACAGTTTATTGCTGGAAATATCCATACCCTTCGTGATTTTGTAGGAGTTTCTTGATCTGCGCGGGACAGCTATTGATGACTCGTCCGCTACTGTCTTTGCTTCTCTACACAATCTGCAAGTCCTCGTTCTGGCAGGTGGGTAGTGCCAGCAGCCACAATATTGCTCACATCAAAAGTCGCGGAATTACTGTTAGTGCTAGCTCTACAAAGAATTGACGGGCAGGTCGCTTGGCAGTGGAGAGAACGTCAGCCAAGTTTGCCTTTGTCCTTTTTGATCATACACTCAGTGCTGTGGTTTCTTCAATGTGCACAGACACTGCAGTAACAACGCTAACTGTTTCGGCTGTTGTGGAGGGCTGCCCCAAGCTGCAGATGCTGGATCTTTCTTGCACTGGCCCTGTTTCTCGCGACTGTCTCTTTCGCCTGGCATTTTCTCTCCAGTCGCTTACGCGCCTTAAATTAAGCCACACGGCGTGAGCTGCTGGCCATTACCCGTCTCAAAATTCGCCTGCATTTCACGCTGCTGGAGATTCCCACTTGACTGACTCATGCAGCTCACGGCTTACTGTCAAATAAGCAGAAGTAACACCGTAGAACGAAGCCACACTTTGAGGAGCCGCTCTTTTTCTTCAAGTATCACCAGCTGTGCCGTTCATGGCTTTTGCGTCCTGCAACGCTTGCCTTTGTTGTCGCAGGGCTATCGATGATAGTTTGCTGGTGCACTTGCTGGCTGAGCTGCCTCTCCTTCGTTTTCTTGACGTTTCGCATTGTTGGAGGGTCACTTCCGCCTTCTGTGATTCTGGCTTCACTGTTGCCTCAGGTACTACTGCGACAAATGTGCCTTCAGCTGCCTGATGCCTTCGCAGATTGTAATGACTGAGACAATAGCTTGCTGCCTACTGTTTTATGGATTCCTCGCTTTCAAGTATTCAGGACGATCGTTCGTGCACCGACTGGGACCGCGCGTTCTCTTCTTGTGGCCGTTGGTGCCTCTGTGTTAGAGAACGTGCTGCCCTGCAAAGAATTTCACATAGCCAGTAAGTGTTTTTGCTCCAATATTTTCGGCACAGGGAAGCAGCTGAGGCGATTAGGGTTATTTGGATGTAATGTGGAGAGACAGAGGGTCGAGGCAGCCCTTGTCCTTGCGGGCGCCACCAACGCGAGGTTGTCGCTTCACAACGTGAGCTGATACGGTTGCCTTCAGGCTCTGTTGCAATCTGCTATCCCGTTCTTGCGGACACTCGCCAATTTCTTGTTGCTGCCTGCCACTCCTGTGTCAGTAACATGCTATGGAGTTGCTTTGTATTCAGGAGATGGCTCTATTTGAAATGCCCCGAGTGTATGCCACAATGAAGGACTTGGACATTTAAAGATTGCCACGACTATCCCTGCCTTTTCATGGCTTCCATTCACATTTTGGAGCTGAGTGAAAGCCTCCGTGCATTATCGTGTAGAAGTCACTCTGGTGTTGTCCACTTGCTAACTTGCAAAGGCGTCCGTGCGGGGCTGCAGCTGCAGTCTTGCTCCACTTCGGGAAAATAGCGGCGTTGTTGAGGGAAGACCACTTCGCTGATTGTGTGTTAACTGCTCCTCATGCTTTACACTTTCCTGTCGCATGACATGACTAGACGCCCACAAGCAGCCACTAGCTGTTTTCTAACAATGTGAATGCCTCTTTCCTTACAGACAGTTTTTGGTGTATCCGGTGGCATGGGTTTCCATGTGATTTACTGTTGACTACTTTTCTATGAACAGCGCACACTGCACTAGTTTCATGCATGAAATGCAGCTGACTAATTGAGCATCACGGGCCGCAGCCCTAAGTTTGTGCACCTTAAGGGAATGCTCATTTCGGCTCCTGCGCCATCACTTCTAAGTCTTTTTGAGCACCGGATCGGCAGGTAACTCGGTAGACTCTTGTTTAAATTCTGCGTTTGAACCGCCAGCCGAGGCAATTTTTGGTGTTCAGAGCAAAATTAGCACGTGTCGTCCACAAAACAGCTAGATAGGTGGGTCGTACAGACGGATTAGCTGTTAACTTCTTGAGTAGGGAAGTGCTATTGTGGCGTTATATATTGGCCTCATAGGCTCGCTTGTAGAGCGCAGCGCATGCTACTCTCTGCGTTAGACTACAGAGTTCAAGTTGAGACTCTCGCCAGCACATGTATGCGAAGCTACGCATGCTAGTGATTACTAAACGGCGGCCGAAACGGGTCACTTCGGCAGTGGTGACAAGGCAACTGCGTAGATTTGTTAACTATCAAGAACTGGCGACAGATCAGCCAAGAAGTAGGTGGGCATACGTCGAGGCCGCCTTAGTCATGCCACAACGAAAGCTAGCATACACTGCATTGGTTGCCAGCCCTTTCATTCGGCATGCTTAAGGCCATAGAGAAGTGCTCCCTACCCTATTTTCACTGCATGATTCTACTTCCGCTACGGGGCCCCAGGGAAGAGGTGGCTGGAGTAAGTACTATTCTCGACTTCCACCACTAGCGCCACCAAAGAGGCATAAGAGGCGTCCGTTTGGCATTCAAAGACGGGGGTATCTGGCAGGCTAGTAATCTGGCAGCGTGCTGGGGTGTAATTGAAGGTTTCTCCAACGGGAATGGAGCATTCGGCCCATCTTGGGAAAAAGTACAACATAGTAAATCACACCTGAGGCCAACAAGTGCGGCGGAGTAATCACACGCTCACTGTCCCGAGTGTCATCGCAACGGTCCAAGGCCTACAGCGTGAAACGCTGCGTTGCCCAAGAGCTTTACTCGGTTTGCTAGCAAACCTTACAGGCAGCACGAAATGAACATCCGGGCAGGATGCACTCTATCTGATCTCTGCACGCCTGCAGTTTGTTCTACGTTGGTGAGGAGGCCAGAAAACAGTGCTAAAGCAGGTGCTGTTTGCTATGTAGGGATGAAGCGAAGGCATCTGTTTTACCCAACGAATTCAATCGTTATTTGTCAGGTGCAGATTACATGTCCGCAGTAAGCCAAATTGACCCCAGCACTATAAGATCGCACAACTTTACATGATCCTCACGGTAGAAGGGAGCCCTTTTGCTCTAGGAAAGTGGGAATGCTTGGGCAAATGAAATTTGAAATTCAAAGTGCCACCGGAAAAGCCGCATTGCTCCCTATTTTAGAAATAGATACAGTGGGTGTATGACGGCTTTCGTCAGGCTTCGCTACTAGTCAGTTTGGTTTGCTCTGTCGAACAAATGTTGCATTCTGGTAGAAGCAAGTAGCACAAGTTTGTAACCCTATTGTCCACGTTTTCCAACTGGACTGCGTCCCTTGGACTTCGTATAGGCTCCTCTGGAACAGAGATTTGAGGGCTGGAATTCCAGGATTTTTGAAAGGATTAGCGGCATCGAAGCAGATTCAAAACTGGATGCATGGAACAACCAACAGCCCTCTATGAGGCGCTAAATTTTTCCGAAGGCGCCTCTTTTGTCTGCATGGCTAATATTTTAATGTTGATTCTACCAAGGTGATTTCATTCCAATTGTCGAAAAAAATTTCGGCAGTTCATACCGTGACTAACCTTACTGGGATCTTTCATACTTCACTGTCGTATTACCAGTTTTCTTCACTTTCATAGGATTTCGCTCTGCCTCGTACTTTTTATGTACAGGCTACAGCGATATTCACAGCATTTAGCTCTTGCCTTTCTCTTTAGGAGCGTCATTCCGGTCCTCTTGTGCGTGGATGAAGCTGTATTTGGGCTGCAAGGGATAGTTCTGCAATTTTCACATTTGCTTATGCAGGGGGTTGCTTGCGTTCATGTCCATCAAATGAAGTTGAGACTCTTTCATTTTGTGCGTGTCACCTCTCGTCCTTGTACTATCACGTAGTTCTAGTCATGTCGGCCAATTTTCTTACTCAGGGATTTTCTTTGGTCCGGCGCTTCCTCGATCACTATGAATGGACGAAAGAGCAGGGCATGGTGCAAAATAGAGTGTTACAATGTTATTTTCACGACGCCTTGTCTAGCCTTCGTAGAACTACCATATATCCACGAACTATGTCTGCATTTGGCCTCAAGCGGTATTTACCTTCTTTTCATAAATAAATATCGTGTGTCAGCAAATCACACTTGATTTTACATTGCGCCCACAGTCCAAAAACGTCTGGCGCGGAGTTGCGTTTGCATTTGCCTACCACTAAGTAACAGCCAACAGTATGCTAACAGTGTTCTCCGGACAGTCGATTCGCGACAGCATCTACAAAAAAACACAACAATATCCGCATCTTTGTATGAAAATTGCTAGCATGAGGACAGTATTTCAATATTTGCTTCTAGCATTTCGTTACCTGCGGTCTCCGCGCCCCACCAGTAACCACGCACCAGACCAGCCACACTAACACAATCTACTCAACCACCACGCTCCAGCCCCATGTGGTAAAATTTTCATCGTAAGGCGAAGGGGAACAGCCATTTGCTTTTTCCCAGTAGTGAAGGCAAAGCTGCATATCACTCAGCAATAAGTAAGCCCCCGGGTACTGATCACTCTGTGGAGTGGTGGGGTACACAGCTGCAACCAAACCCAGCGAGCTACAGTCTCCTCGCCTTCTGCCCTTGTCACCGTAAAATGAAGTGCTAGAGCTGATTTTTCTGACGTGGCTTACTTAGTGGTGGCGTAGCATTTGTGACTTCGGCACACTGCGGTTCCTCCTTCAAGGCTGAGGTCTCTACAGTTTCACAAACGAACAAGTTGGGACGATGAAAGCAGAGGGAGAGGGGCGCAATGTAAAGTGGTATAGCAGTGGAGGCTCGGGAATCCATCCAAAGGGCCTATGTTCCGTCGTGCGCTCCCCGCCCCGAGGCCCTTCCGACCGTGCAGAAACGCCGCTCGCCGCGGATTTTTTCACCTTCAATAGGTCGTCCACAGTCATCGCTCACCGTCTGCTACCATCTCGCGAAAATACCGAAGAATTAGAGAGTTGCAAGCTGACTATTGCTGCGGCGTCGGCAGCTGAGTGCGGTGTGACGGCCTTGGCCTCAGCGGAGGCCGAGACGAATGAAGCGCCTCTCCAGCTGCTCGCAGGGTTGTCAAATGGCCAGCTATGGCTACTCGAGGTAAAGGAGCAAGAGCAAAGGGAGATCGGGGGACAGAAGCTGCCACGTTCCCTCACTGGCTCATCAAAGCAGCTTCTATGCTGTCGGATGGCCGAGCCAATCGATATTGCGTGCTGCTACGTCACCAGTAAGGATGACACAGGACTGGCTGACGCAGACAAGAGTAAGGAAGGCCTCAGCAAATGGATTCTAATGGTGGTCGTGCTGTATAGCGACGGAGTTGCCGTTGCATCATGGCCAGACAGAAACCAAACAACGGAATTCCCGTGAGTTGTACCTGACCCTTCACGAATTACGGAACCTATACATTTGCTCTGCCACTTTTTTTGTGCAAAGCTTTAGGCTGCATATAATGCTCCAAAACTGTGCTGTTTGGACTGTGCACAGCGTTGTGGATGGAGGGTGCCGTCTCACTCTGTCCCCCCGAGGCGACCATGCAACGATCAGCACCAGGAAAAGGCGCCTGGTCCTGCTTAAGCGTGATGGGTGGCAGTTTAGCGTTTTGAAGGACTTCTCTCCGCTGAAGCTTACAGGCCCTGCTGAGCCGCCACCTCAACCTGCTTGGTGTGAAGTTTGTTTTGTCAGCAGTGCTGGTGCCTCGTTAGCCACCCGCTTATTGTGTCTTCCGGTTATATGGTCCAAAATTGTCCTAACAGCGCTTTTTTTTCTGCGTGCAGGGTTAAAGAGGAGAAACTGCTGCTTCCGGGGGCTCTGCAGCTCCGCTGTTCATCCAGATCAAGTGCTTGGGAGGAAGCAACTGAGGCGCCGTCCTTGCCTCAGACCGAAGCCGCGTTCCCTTTGGCTTTTGTTCAGCACTTTGGTTTTATTGCCGATGGTAGAGTATCTGTCGTACCCAATGAGGGGGAAGGCGAACCACTGATATGCGGTGTATCCACCAGGGGCACCATATGCGTTTGGAGGATGCAGGAAGAGAAGCCGCTTATGACAATACGCAGTAAATAAGTCACTTGTGCCCTCAGATCCACTGTCTGGTACTTGCGCACTTCTTCCACCATTTCATTGTGGAGTTGCATGAGTCCGGAAGGCCTCTTCAGATTCTCTCGTGGGTTTCTCGTGTCTTTTGTCCATCTGCAGATGAAGGAAAGGCGCAGTTGCAGGGTATTTGCCTTCTTCCCGCCGTTGCTCCGCTTGCCTGCCTAATGCTGCTCCGAAGTGATGGTACTCTTGGCTTCCTCTGCCTGTCCTCTGAAGACCTGTGCAGTGCAGCTCGTTCAGCGGCACAGGCTGCTGTCGCCTCACCCACTGTTGACAAGCGGACGAGCCAGAATTCGAAGACTCCTTTGGCAGACGGAGAGGAGGTTGAGGGTGCGAAAAGTGAGTAGAACTGTGTTGGGGCCAGTGCTCATCAATGGACTTCGATGGACGGCGTCAGGTCATTCGCAGGTTTCTTCATTCTGTTGCTGTATTCGTTGACATATCGAAAGAATGCGTGCAAAACATAAGTGCTGCTTATGTGGCCATGTGGGCGCATGGGCACTTGCTTTCTCTGTTCAAGTGCACCGGTTCGAGCTTTTGTAAGTTTAGAGGTGCGATTCCCTATTTAGCTGTTGGAAAAGTACATAGCTGCATTTAATGGCTTGTGCTGCGCGACGTGTCATCATTCTGTGTGTAGGCAGCAAAGCATCTGCAAGTTCAGTCGAAGCATTCCTGAGTCGGGAGGCTGCGGAAGCCTCCGCTGAAGAATCGGAAAACGAGACGGAGGGGAATGAACTTTTTGACGGAATGGAGGCCGAGGAGAGAAGTGCGCAGGCAGAGAAGCATTTTTGTTGGCTGAATTGCGTCTGTGAATTCCTTTGATAGCAAGCGCAGCCATGCCCATGTTGTTTGAAGATGGGTGCCTTTAAGTATTTGAGCAAACATTGTCTGCCTGCTGAGCTTGTGTTCAAAGTGGAGGGTGCTGCAACCTGAACCACTTATGCCCATGTTCCTACACAAATTTGCCACGCGAACGCTCTTCTTTTCACTAGCACTAAATTGGGTAGATATATAGAGGCAAGGACCGGAGCGGTGTCGAGTGCTTGTATAATGGTATGTGGTGTGTTGCCCGCGGTCATGCATACATCTTACTGAAAAGGGCATGCTGGCCACGCCCTTTTGTTGGCTGCTGTTCATGTGCGATCATGCGTGCAGCGCCCCCCAAGAAACACAGTCGGAAACGCCGGAAACGGTCGCTAGCTGGAGCTGAAGAGGAGAGTGAAAGTAGTGGCACTGAGACTGGGGGCTTTCACCGGACGTCAGTAGACGGAGAAGGGCTTGACGCTGGGGATGCTGAAACTGTCGCATCGAGCATTATTGCTCTACGGTCCGAGTTGCGAGAGGCTCAGGCAATGATAAATTCACTGTTCAAGAGGCAGCACTATATTAAACAGCCGATTGTTCATCCAGGTGGTGGGCCCAAGCCACTAGAAGCAGGAAAGCCCTGGTGCGAAAAAGCATCCGTCTGTGCACACTACAGTTCTATTTGTTTAGGGCTTTTCCATGCCAAACATTTTACAGCCACCACAAAAGACTCCAGAAGTTTCACTGTTGAGCTGTATTTTGTGCATATGTGCATGCCCATATGAAGGCGGCTAGTGAGGCTCTCTTTCTGTTTTGTCACTGTGTGAGATAGTGGACGTTAGGTTCATGGCAAGGTGCAATTTCAAAAACCCGCTTGTCTCCTGTGCTGCTCCTTCAGGTGTTTGTTTTGGACTCATATAGGGCATATAACCAAGACTGTGACTGCCGACAACTCTGTGCTTGACGTTTTTAATTTCTCGCCTGGTGCTGTTGCTGATGGCACGGCTCACAGAAAGTTGACAGACTTGCAAAATTCGTCAGCTGCTGCTCTCTGTAAGTAAACTGAATCGCTACTGCTACGGTGCGGGTGCTATCGCTACGGCATGGGTGCAGTAGATAGGTGTTGCATCGCTCGATACTAAAGGGCTGTTGAGCGAGTGGGAGCTTTGGCTGCTTGTTCTGCAGGTAGAGCTGGTGTTGTCTTGGCTGCATCAGGCTCCAATCACAGCGTCTTAGAGTTCCGGTAGGACTTCCACTGTCCCTCTTGACTAAGTGATTCCCGGGCCTAACACAGGAGGCACGTCAATTCATTGGTGCGCAGAGCTTTATGCACATCATGAACCACTCCATGATGATTGTATGCTGTGTTTACTTTGCGAAGCTCCTTTTTGGATGCGGGCTCGTGGCTGAAACATTTTCCGGAGGGAGAGGAGATTGTTGCCGTCGCTGCAGGGGATTCATTCGTGGCCGCAGTCACTGAAGAGAGGCAGGTTTAATTATTAGCACAAGGACGCTCACAGTTTCGCTGGATGCCGTTTAGCCGCTTAGGCATCGCACTTAGACACTGGAGTCCGCAATAGCAACGATAACACGATCGGCATTTTATTGGAGGTGGTTGCCCTGCTGCGAAAGCATGCGAAAGCATGTTCCATTTCACCTGCTGCAGTTACATTATCTGCAACCCTGGTGCATTCATGTCCTGTAACTTGTTGCTTCAGGACGCTGCGCATCTTTACATTGGGAGGGACACTGCTATACACAGCCGATGTGTTTGGGAAGCCCGTTTCGCTATGTGGTTCTCAGCAATTGCTGATCGTTGTGACACAAACAGGGAGTAGTGAAGGGTTCTTGCAGCTGTATTGCTACGTGCTACATGTTCATCCGAGCCCAGCGTGCGAAAATGCCACTTTTCGTCTGCCAATTTCTTGTTTAAAGAGGCGATTGGCAGCTCCGCCTGCCGCAGCCGCTTGTATTCCGGAAGTGGACATTATTCATGAAGGTAGGTGGTGGTTAGGCTTACCGTGAAGCAGCGTAAACGCCAAGGCCCACTGCGTGGTCAATATGAGATTTCGTGCAAGGTTTTGGAAGCCTTTGCGGACCTTCTTTGCCTTTATGCATTTTCAGGTTTCTTCGACGTGGGGTCCCCACTAGATTGGATCAGTGTTTCTCCTGGAGGAATGCCCGCAGTAAAGGATACTTCGGGCAAGTTTAGTCCCGTAACGTCCCTGCCAATCAGGATATCGTAGGACTTAACTGGCAGTACGTGCAGGTATGCACGGAAGAGATGTCGGGCTAGATGGCCCGTGAAAACTCGAGTTCTCGTGCTTCGCGAAGTGCAGCGACCATAACCGTGCTTTTGTTTTCTAATTGCATTTGGCTTAGGAATCGTGCGCGGGCTGCTACCGGTTGCCTCCACGAGTGTTGGAGGGCTGTCATACGCATTCAGATGGGTGAAGCTATGCTCGCTTAGGGAAGCATCAGCCACGGCGCCTCTCTTTCCAATTATTATCGACGAAACGAAAGTCAGTGATATCAGATAAGTTGGTTTTTCTCAGCGCCGCCTCTGTTGCCTTCTTTACGTCTTATTCGTTTTCTTTTTAGGAGTTTGTTCTCCTGGTCACTTCATGTGTTTTATTGCTTCAGGGGGAATTGGGTGTCGTCCGTCTAAAGGCGAATGAAGAAGGTCTCTCCTTTCCTGATTGTTCCGTTGCCGATGCTTTTTTCGGGTACACAATGGAACATATCCCTCTCCGCATACCTTCGCCAGACCTCTGGAAATACGGTCGGTGGCAGAGGCTTCTACGGCAGGATAAACAACTCAAAGGGGTTGGAGATGGGGGAGGGGATGCCGCGCTCGTTCCCTGGCCGCAATATGACGAGCTGAGGTTTCAACAGGAAATGGCCATCAGACAACTAAATCATTTTGTCAGCATCTGTGGAGGGTCAACCGTTGGTGGCGCCGAAGGGGATGCTGAGGCCAGGGAAGCTCATAGAAAGCTTCAGCTTCTTAGCAAACGGCATGACAAATACTGCCTGAGAGGCTTCGCTAAGTGTACAGATGACAAAAGGGTGAGGGGCCAAATTTTCGGCAAAGGCCCTGAATCAAACACATAGGTACTGTTTTGCGTTGCTACATCGTCAATGACCGGAACTTCATCATTACCCACCAGCTGCAGGCGTGATGTTTAAGAACCCCCACTGTCTCTCTATTTCATACCACCGCTTGTACGGGGACCAAGAAGGATATGACTTGTGCGGTGAAGCACCACTAGAATTACACGCTGTTTTGTGTAAATGCACGAACTGGCTGGATGCTTCATATTTGCAGCTTCATGGCGTTGCCAAGGAAATGGCGCTGAGACTGAAAAACGAAAACGCCCCCCAGCATGCTCGTTCACTTCTAGATTCAGATACGCGGCTCCAAGCAGAGTATGTTGATAGAATTCTCAGAAGACTCTCAATGGCTCTGGTACCTTGACCCAAAATGGTAACAAGCGTGTCAAATCGTACTAAGCACTGCTGCTAGCCAGCGCGTATCACCAGCTAAGCTGCTTCAAAGGAGCAGCTGTGGTGGCACTTGGTCATCGTGTTGTATGGAAAATGTTGAAACGAAGATTGAGCATGTACGACCTTGGTGATAGGTAGGAGCCGCTTCGACTGCTCCAGCACTTCCGACTTTTGTGCTGCAACGAACTTCGCAGTCTCAGATTTATCATTGTTCTGTGTTTATTTGTGCACGCTGCAGGCAGCTTAGAGAGGCCCTCTTGTGGCAAGAGCAGCAACGCCATAGCTTTGGTGCGATTGCAACAGCAGCAGCAGAGACAAATGCAGTTCAGAAGGAAAACTGTTCGCCTCCACAGGACTCATTTAAACAGACGGAACAGAAGAGCTCGACTTCTGGAGAGGCATGCTCTACATTACCTACCGAGAAAAGATCAAGCATTCAGAAATTGATCCAGGTCCGTTCGCAAAGTTAGGCACCCCCTCCACTTAAACTGGAGTACTTAGTGTGACTCTCCATTGTGGGTCAGAAAGCTATATAGCTGTTGTCCCAGCAGGCATAGTATTATGTTGTGCTGTTGTTGTTGCACTTTGGAATGCACTGATGTCCACGCAGTGGCAGCAGCTGCAACAGCAGCAGCAACAACGGAGAGGCGGTGATGTTGGCCTGGCTATGCTATTCGACGGCCAGAAACGTAGAGCATCTGAGTCGGGACTTGACAGGGCGCAAAAAAAATCGTACTTCCATAAGGCAGACTAGGGGATGGATACCATCTATAACCTCCGCGGAAGGGCTAGACAGGGAACATCAGAAAGCCATTACTTAAAATATTCGGAAAGAAGCGCCAGTCGTACTACGCTACTCCAGCGGCTGAGCCTCAACAAACCAGGACACTACGGCATCCGAAAGATGCCGCATTTGTTCAGCACCACTCGAGAATATTGGATTGTTCCCTTGTCCCGAAGAAGGAATGAATGTGTTTGTTCGCTGTCGTCCACAATGGGCTACAGAGCAATTTCTTGCTAGATACGCACGGATTAGTGCCCTCAGGGCCTTTGTGGCTGCCTTTCGGCAGAGTCCTCATCTACGGAGAAAGTGTTAGCAGTACTGTAGAAGTTCTAATTGCTGCTTGGGTTTTGTATGTGGGAAAGGACTATTGGGGGAACAGCGCAACGAGGCGCTTGCACTTCTTGGGTGGCACGCAGTGTTCTGTGTTCGACGGATGTCAACCATGTCCGTGAACCTGTTTAGTGCGGCTGTGTGTTGACCGAAAGTAAACAGTCGGACGGCGTGCACTCCCCATGAAAACCGATCAGCTGACTCCCGCACGCGTGTACGTAGAGTGCAAGAAGCTCTGTGCTCCAGCAGCTCATTGTCTAATTGGCTTTGCGCTCTGAGGCATAGAGCTGCCGCTGTGGTGTGCGAAGCACCCCTTTCCGCGTTATCTCCAGTGGTGAGCTGCTCTTCGAGTACCAAGGACTCGCTACCTTTAAATGTCATCAGTATTCATGCGCTGGCAGTAATATTCAGGCCTCCGTAGTACAGCGTAGCTCCAGTTGCCGCTCAACATGGTACGAACGGCTGTACAGCATATCCCAACGCCCTCTTGCTAAGATGCCCTACAAACTCCCACTTTGTCTACCATAAAAACAAAGTAATTCCGAGCTAATAAAAAGTAGCTGCTGACACAACAGGTGGGATTGACCGCCCGTTAGTGCCGCAGGAACAGCCGGACTCTAGTCTGGTTGTCACCCCAACAATGAGCACATTTAGCGAGACAACCAGCGGTGCATAACAAGCAGTGAAGCCTCTAGAGCAACTGTGCAAGCGCATTTAAACAAATACGCAAATATCGGCGTCAGCAGACGCAACAGCTGAATGGTAACGCGAACTCGAAGTTTGTCGTGAAAGTCTACAGGGCTTGTCAGCAGATGAACACGCGTGAAGTAAACGAGCAGTCTTTCTAGAAGTCTTCACTGTCAGCACCGTGAGAACAATGATAGACAGATGGAGAGGTAGGTCTAAACAACTTCCAGGTTTGCGCAATCGAATCCGCGGTCGCCAGCAACTCTGAGTGAAACGCCTCCTTCTGCTGCAAATGCCGAACAGTTGTTTGGGTCATCGTCTATGAGCAGCACCTGTTCCTTTGAGACGCCGAAGTGCTCAAGAACCTTCGCGCAAGCGCATGACTCGTTCACGCATGTGTGCTTACAACAGCAGCATGCGCAATTACTCTTCATTGGTGCCGTGGACCCAAAAATATCGCTTTAAAAAGTTGGGTATGCCTGTTCAGCTGCACTTGTTGCTGAACAGTGCACCCCACCCACCCACCAGACTGGACGAACGCGGCAACACATGACCAACATCGAAGACCAACCTTGCTTATGTGAAATGATTTGCTAAAAGGCATAGGTTCCTTTAAACCCAAGACCTTGTAGTCAGCTGGCCACTGATAAAGCCTGAAAATGCGAGGCGAATCACAAAAAACAGGCAGGACGTCAGTCGTACCACAGCACTTAGTAAAAACCTCTAGAAATGAAGCACTGCTGCAAAAGCTCTGCGTCCTCACAGACGCAGAGCATGCGTTTTCTAAGTAGTCATTACTCAGCCAAGAAGCTCACGGGGGATAAAAGGGAAACACCGCGTCTACTTTGAACGAGGCAGCGCTCCCTTCAAGCACACGTTGCACTAGCGGCTCGCCTGCAATGCGGTCTGGACGTGATGCGATGGCCCGTGGATCTGCACACATTATCCCCCTAAAGAGCGTCGGCGTGTGCCTTTATAGCACTGCGAGGACTTGGAGCAGCTGCTACAAGTAACAAGAATGAGCCCCACTTCAGTCTACAGAAACTCACCTCCAAAGGTCACAACGGCAATAGGAATCCCGCGAGACGTGACCGCCGATGCGAACGCATCAAAGTCAGGAGAGAGGGACGTAAATATTGGATTATCAGGCACATTCGAAGCGCTGCCACCTAGTAAGACGAACGCACCAAAGGCGTCAGGCTGGCTCCAACACTCCCCAAAAGCCACTGTTCGCTCTACAGGTACGCAAGTATTAGCTATCTTACACCTAGACATATGCAGTGATCGGTTAGACTGCCAGTGAAAACCCGCATAAAGAGTCATGGCTTAAATGGAGATTTCCGCGCTGTGTTCGCGGGTGTACTTGCCTGAATGCACAGTAATCATGGTTAGATCAAAGTCAACAGCAATGACACGAATGCCACCTGTTTTCACAGCGTCAGCAAGAGCTGTGCATGGTTCTTTTGCCGACAAGGCCTTGCAGAGAAGCTTTTTCAGTCGGAGCGCCTTGGTGCCTTTGCTGAAACTGCTTTCTGCTGCAGTGGATGGCAACGCCATTGAAGCAAATGTAAGGAGTATCAGGAGCCAGCTGAAGAACCTTATCCGGTTTCCTGCGCGGAAGGCCTGCTTGCTGCGGCGTTCCAATGACGCACGGCGCAGCTGGCCCGTATTTGCATCACCTGACCAGGTCAGGCAATGACTCTGTCGGTTTTTCACGTTCCGTGAGAGCGTGTGGGGCGCTAACGGCAGACCTGGAGATGCGCTGGCTTGAGTCCACTTCTGCATTGAAACAATACCTGGCGTTGAGTTCCCCTCACGCATTTCGAGTATCCTGCTAGTACCTTACCACTACAGCGAACATACGAGCCAGTCTACACGCATAGCTCTCTGAGCCACGACGCCATCACCCACGCCAGCAATATTTCTAGAAAACCGCTGGAGGAAAGGTTTGACGCCGTCTCATTGCAGTGAGGAAAACAGCACTAATTGGTGAACGCGCGGACAACGCAAAACTTGCTGCGCTTACGAAGGCATACGGCCTTGCTTGTCTCTTCTGTGATATAGTATGCGCACAATATTCCTCAGCAAATGGAGGTGTATGCTCTGGATACCTCTGCGTTCGCCGGGGAAGGATGTGCGAGCCTCTTCTGCATACAAGCCCTCAACGCTCTGGGTGAGATCGAGCAGCTGCGGCCCTAAAACGCCGCCTCCATTTTAGGAATTGGCTAGCCTCCTGCCCGAATTACAGGCATCCGTTAATTTTTTTACAGTTAATTAAATAAATCCGTACGGAAACTAGTAACGAACGGTGCTTTCCTTCGACCCACCAAGCGAAATCCTTTGCCTTTCGTCTCCGCTGGGACTTCGGCTGCACCAGATACCAGCACCCTGTACTCAGCGAGTTAAATTTCAAAAGGCATCTTCTTATATTCATGTCTCCATGTTACGCCAAGCTATATTGTGAGGTGGGTTGCAGTGCACCACTAGCAAAGTTTGCTCTAATGGCATCATGCCGGTTCTAGAGATCTATGCACCGGTGGCGGGGACTCGTACGCTGTATAATGTGTCAACGGGACTTTAAAATTACTCTGTATTCACTGTCTTCGTGAACCTGTGTGGGAAAAATAGTGCAACAAGCTATTGGCTGTTTCTGAAGTGCACCCGACTCATTTTGTACGGTACGAAGGAGCCAAATGCAAAATTCTACAAATGCACTTATGAGCGTTCGGCGAAAGGGTCCATGCGCCTTAGCTTGTGAGGAAACTCTTCATACTGTGGGTTTCCGTTGCTTAACATGCATATATTTGATTGGCAAGTGCAAGTTATGTCCTATAAGTGGCTGGTGCACAGCGGACTATACTGTACACAGGCGGGCCTGTAGGAGCAAAGATAGGAACGGACAGCTAGTCTTCAGATGTTGCGGCACAGCATCCGTTTCACAAAGTGAAAGAGAACAAATGGCCTGTCGAAGGGCCTCTTTACGTATCCAGCGCAGCCGCGTCAGCCGTAGTGACCTAGCGTGCAACATGTGGCTGAGCTTTTGACGCTATATTGTGTCCAAGAAAATCAGTGAACTAATGAGAACAGTTTTAAACAATAGGAACGTCACTGTACTCCTTCTGGAGAACTCTTGGCAGAAGGGTGTGAAAACGACTCCATATTTACTGATTGCCGTAGGTAACTAAATCTACCTGTCCTTCGATGTTCTGAGAATTCATATTCAGTTGGTGAATCAATAGGATACATCTGTTGCTCCTATGCAAAGTGCTCTACACATTCCGCCCTCGAATGCAAGAGCACTTGTCATGACTAGCCAGAGCCACTGTTTTCAAGTTTACACCCCTTGTTCTGCATGTTACGCGGTACTCAATGAAAAAACAGTTGTGCACAGCCACAGGCCTGATGTATTTCTCTCTTCACATGGCTTATGGGCTTCTTTCCCATCCCGTGACCGATTTATCTGAGCTTGAACAACTGGCGACCACACGGTAGCTCCAGCCACAGCCACATTTACCCCTCTATACTACGCCGATGGGCATTTCGACATTAGAAGGTTGAAAACACGTCCATAGAATGAAAAGTATCCTTCAAGCTGAGTTGCTTATGGCTTTGGAAGAATAAGCTTCTGTCTGAGCTAGGACAAATTCAGGATATTGTGCAACAAATTTCTTCTCAGTAGGCTTCAGATATGACTATGTGTTGCACTGTTGTTGGTACAGCATTTTCATAAGCTGCTCCGCGCAGATCTGTTGCTGCTCCGCTGATATGCTGCCGCTCCGCTTCCAGACTACTCTAGCGCCACTTCGCATCTCAAGCTTTCACTTAAAGTGTGGGAACACGAAACTGTTTCCACCAGACTTTAGAGACGCTTAACAAGCTAACAAGCCTTGTAACTGTCTGGAAGTCTGGCAGCCTCCAAGGTGAGCTGCAAACATCTGTGCAAATGGGAAGCAGACCGCTTTCATATTTTCTGCGGCATGCATGTTTACGGATTGACCAAAAACTCGCAAAAAGCATAGATGCTTCACTCAAGTGTGGAGCAAAGAGCGAAAAAAAATAAACTTGAGAACCACAGGAGGCAACTTAATCAGTACCGTGCACCACACTTTGTTGAGCATCAGTCAGTCTGCTGTTGGCCCATCCTTGCTGGCTGACTGACTCAAAATTTCTCTCGCTCGCGACTGAAAGTCACTGATATATTCCCAAGCCCTGCGTGTGCATCCAAGCTCACTCATTGCTATGCGGCACGCAAGCAACTTGTTCATGTGTATGCGAAGCTCCACAATTACAAAGCCTAGTTTGCGCAACAGAATCCGGCTCTTGCTGGACATTCTCGGGTCCCTCTCTTGTTCTGCTTCGCGATCTAGAAACACGGGGTCTCCCCGTTGGCCTCCAGCCTCCTGAACGATTTCACATAAAACGTTTTGCCCAGGCATTTACGGACGCCACAATGGGCAAGACAGCTTTGCAGTAACGTCAGAAAGTCTGCCAGAAAGGTCATCAAATTCCGCATGTGGTAGGCAAAAGTTCCGGAAGCAGTGGAAAGTAGGCTTGCCATGTAACGTACATGGATAGCCAAAATCGCCTGTTGAGCCACAGTCGTCACTGGAGGAACTTCAGAGTGAGCTGACGCGCTCATCAAAGATGAGTCACCAAACATACTTTCCTTGATTATCATCTCTGGCAGGCCCAAATGCTCATCCTTCGGGACCTGAAGCTGCGAAGCACTATGACGACTTGCTCTGGGAGTGTCATGGTCAAGTACGAGTGCAATTATCTTCACGGCTATTCTCTGTATGAGATTTTTATTTTCAAGCAATGATTCGTAAAGGAGAGAAAAACGCAAGTTTCGCTCCTGAAGTTTTGCATCAACTTTTTCGAAGCCTGCATGGACCAAAAGGCTGGCCAGACTCTGGGCTGCCACTTCAGTAGACCCTATGGCACAAAATTCGTAGGCCCTGCGCAAAAAGAGAGAAAGTGCGAAGTACAATGCGATCCCGCTAGTCTAGAGTGCTGGATCAGGTGAATCAAGGCATCAGAAATGGCATCTTAGTTCAGCGCGCTGCCAGTTCTTGCACGTGCACTAAACCCCCTATCAGCAAACTGTGCAGTGTGCCTTACAAAACACAAACAAGGGATGCAAGTGCCACAGGCGCGATCAGCGGCGTTAATGGGGCACAGCTCGACCAGATCTCCGCGACAGCATCATATGTATCGAGGGCAAAACAAACTGCAGAAGATTTCCTGAAGAGCTCCTGGCATTCTGAAACAAGCAAAATGCTTACATGAGGCAGCTAAACATGTTGTATTTCCAACAATGCTTTTTAAGAATGCTTCAAAGTGAAATTGCCGGAGCTCAACAAACATTTTTGGCTCCATCGATACCAGAGCAGTCCGAAAGACAGCACCACAGCAAAAAGACCAAAGGAACAGCCTACTGCAAGCTCACCACAAGCTTTCTCTACGTGTCCCAATAGCTCCCGAAGAGCCTTCATCTGTGACTCGCGGTGTTGACTTGTAGCTTTTGCTGCTTGCTCCACCTCCTCACGCTGAACGTCAGTCAAAGCAGCGTGAGGCTCTACTGGATCCTGCTCAAGGAATTGCCAACTACCAGTGCCAAACTGTCCGTCGAAAAAACTTGTTTCCGCTAACAGGCCCGGGTTTGCTCTCTTTCCCAATTCAGGCTCCATCAGAGACTCCATTTTATCCCAAGTTTCAGTCGCACGTTGCAAGCTCCGCAACTGCGTGCGTATTAGACGGGAGCTCTGCTCAAGTTGTCTCAATGCAGTAATTGTCCTTTTGCCAGCGCCGGCAGGAGAAGTCTCGAAGAGATCCGCCTTTTGTGGACAAGCACACAAAAAGAAGATCCACGTGCTACAGACAATGATTGCTGTAAAAACATCTTTAGAATGAGCTGAATGGCGTGGACACCATCGTTCCACAAACTACTCCGCAAAGACAACTGCGAAATGCTTACATCATTTCCGGCCTCATCCATATGCCCACGCGAAGCTGAAGAGCTCATAGCGGACGATAAACGGGTGAAGCTCCTCTTTAGTCGTTCTCTTGCAAAATCCCGGTAAAGAGCATCGATGGAGCTTCCTCTCCCACCTGGAGCTCTGAAGGCGCCATTGCCGCTGTTGCTTTGCCTGTTCATCTCATCCTTACGGCCGCAGCCTGAGCCGCTCCTAAGACTTAGCACCTGCTCGAAATGCGATTTCATCCCTCTTGTGGTGCCCTGCCTAAGTGGAGTAAATATGCTGAATTCGCTCATCCGTCGACGCTCCGCATCTTCCTGCATTCTTCTCACAATATCTTTAAAGGAGGGAAGACTTCCACGAGAGCCCGTAACTGAACTAGATCTCTGGCGCCGAAAATTCTCCGGAATGTGAGAAGAGCCCTTCACAGGCGGAGTGCCCGTGACAGTGCGTTGATTCCGAAGACTAGCGGGACGGCCACCAGGCTGACTAGCAGAAAGGAGTGGATTTCCCACTCGTCCACCATAAACCGCGCTTTCTGCGTCCTTCAAGCCCCCACACAAGCTTCGTGAATACTCAGTCCCATGCTCTCCATCAGTGCTACGTCTTCTGCTTCGCATATTGCTGGATGGCCACCGATCTGGAAAGTCAAGCACTCTGGACCGCGGGCTGGTAGCGAGCCAACCCGAGACGCTCTCTGGCGAGACACTTCTTGTTTGCTCGTCATATTTCTCAAGCCTTCTTACGGGGGTCTTTGAAGTCTCTGGCCTTGTTGGATCTGAGAGCACAGCAGCAAATACAACTTGGTAGAAAGGATGACTGTAGGTCAATGAGATGTTGTCGCCCCACTGGCACGCATTTCGCGTGGATACGCTCACAGCCCACAGCGCTCTTCAGAAAACCAAAAATCAGCTGTCACCTTCAGGGGTTCATCCCATCCCTGGAGCCGGCCACTGGCCACTGCTGTTTTGGGTTTCATGACAAGGCAACGCTTACCAACAACTGTGTAATTTGTGGATCCAAGGATCCACCAGTCGCCTGCCTTGCCATCTGTCGGCGTGGGCAGCTGTGTAGTTCCACCAAGAGAGCCACGCGTCCGGCCTAGCGTGGAAGTCGGCATACTGCCGGGACACCAATAGGAATTCAGCTGCTGCTTTGGTCAGTGAGGACACCAGTGAAACCTGCCCCACTAAAAGGCTCCACGAGAAGGGGAAAGACAGTTACAGTGAAGGAATAACTGAAAAGGCTCTAATGTGGGTAAATAAGTTAAAAAATTCCCACTTGACAGACAGGCTATTGTCTTCTTCAGTGCTCCGCACCGGCCCATGATTGCAGAAGCACGCGGAGTACCGTAAGTTATCTCCAAGGAGATTAGACAAAAGTCTCGCTTCAGCATATGCGCCGCATGGAAACAGCCTGATCCGGCAGAGCGCATGAAACTAAAACTGACCAGTCCCTTGCGAATCGATGAGCTCGAACCAGCATTTCATTTGGCCGGACTGCCAGCGCCCGCCCCAACATGAAAAAAGTAGTACCTTTCAGTACATAAAAATTTATTTTACAGGCTTGGTCCACGTTGGTCGCATGCTTGAGGCCGGTACTTGGCACCGGACAACGAGGGGCCAGAGTTCTCAGGATGTTTGCCGGTGTGTGGCTCGTGCCCGTGTCTCTCGGTCACAGCTTATTGGACTGAGTTTAGCCTTTAATAACTATAATTGAACTTTTTTAGACGTTAGTGTGGGACAATCAAGCCCTAAGGCCCTACCAGCACGCAGTATTAATTCCATAAGCCTTTCGCGCGCCCATCGAGCGACCCATCCATGGTTCGCCGAGCACAGGGTAGTGGCGCTCGCAAATGACCGGCTTCTCAAACATAAGAGCATTATAGGAAGAGTATTTTGGTCACGAATGCAGTTTTAATGGCCTGGAAAACACGCCGAACACATCACCTCCCCACCACTGAAGAGGCCGTCTATGGTGCGACCGCTGGAACAACTATATAAGAAAAGTGCCTTGCTGAAGGAAGCCCGTTCCTAGTTCCAGAACCTTAACAGGCAACTACATTAAAATTCGTGGGCCCCAGAGGCTTGTCACTAGAAAATTCGCATTTTGGAGCTCGCCACTGCCCTGCTGCCCTTGAGGGGCCTCTACGGACGCAGAATAGCCCGGCGTCCCGGGCCTGGGATCACAAGATCCTACAGAAGGCAACTGCCCAAGTAAACTCCTTCGCTCTGATATTTCTGAGGTTCCGGTTTCACGGACAACCTAGCCCGGGGCAGGACCTAACCTGTCTCATAGATTAACAACCAGTACTAAAACTGCTGCCTACTGGAGCGTACATGAAGCGTATATAGCACCCAGTAAGCACTCTTCGATATGACGGCAAGACAGTCGTACAAGCCAGCTCCTTCGTAGTCAGTTTTTCGTGCACTCTCTCGAATTCGTGAGTGCGCATGGCTTCTCACCTACAAGTTCGGGCCTTGGGCCTGTAACGCGAAAGCACAAGGCACAGGCGACCGCGTAGGCGCCAACTGAGCACTGCCTCTGCTAGGGCAGTGCGCACGCTCTCAGCAAGCCACTAAGTGCTCGCAATTCAGTCTTGCTGCATTTCTTCCTTTCCAATTACATGGCCTCCCCCAAGCAAACAGAGGGGCCGACTTCTTGTCAACTTTCGCTTCGATGAAACCGTGCTCGCCGAACCAGTTGTTCCTGCTGTACTGATCTCTCCTACTTGCCACAGCCTCGTGCGCCTGCAATAAATTCAAGCCTTTCCAAAAACTCCCCCAATATCTCCCCCACGTTTTCATGACCGCCTCCCAATTGAGGCTCATTCATACTTCACATTTTGCTTTCCATCGGCATCTGTTCTCCCTCATTCCGCAGATCTTCCTGAACTTCAACTGCGTCGGCGAAAGCAAGCTGAGACTTGCCGTGGCGTCCCAAAATATGTTCTCTGTTCCGATGCAGCCTCCAGGTTGCGTCAATGCCTTCTTCTGCCCTGCGTATCCAGTTTTGCTGGTCTCGGACGCTGCTGAAATGTCTGTACACAGCTGAGAACAAACAAATAATGCCCAAGAATGCCAACAGAGTAGACGCAATAGAGGCAATATCTTCCCGGTCAAGACTGGCGAATCTGGCGAGCACATGGGCGGGACCTCCAGTCACAGATTCATCTCGTTCGTAAGAAATCCAAACTGAAAGCAAAAGAAACAGAAGCCCGACGACAAATACCTTCGCGCCCAACACGCGCGGGGCCTTTGGCAAAAACAGCAGCGGGTACAGCGGGTCATCTAGCAACACCAGACTCTGCCCTTCTTGTTTCTTTTCAGAAAGGTCCCCCACTCCGAGTCGAGAATCCCCTGCTGCAGCCCCCCCACTTTCTCCCTTGACGGCTGTCTGCTCGCTGCCGTCTACACCGGGCAAGCCAATAAGGGAATAGGAGTATTCTGTGGCCGAGTTTTTGTTGGTGTTTCCGGGGTCATTCTTGTTTGCCCACTTCTGCCCAACGTGGGCAGCCCAGGGTGACCCTAAAATGTTCTTTTGAGGCGATGCTGTCACTTCACGCCGCCCCAAAACGTGGTATTCGCCAGAGTTTTCTGCAAAAAAGCTGTGCTCTTTGGCATCAACGGAAACTGCAGCAAATTCCCTGCCTCCCACTGCTGACCCAGCAACCCCAAGAGTGGAATGGAGCCCCCCCACTGAAAAATACAGGGAAAGCACAGTTAGCCAATTCATTGCTGTTCAAGGGGCGACGGTCTGCTGAGGCAGCGGGCAAGTCACTCCAGGAGCAGCACTTTGAAAGCAAGTGAAGCACAGCGCATCTGCCGCAGTTTCCTGCGAACACTATTGGGAAATATTAATCAATCCGCCAGCCTCGGGTGCAGCCTTCGAATAACGTTTCCTTTACGCTCCAAGTATACACCGACAGCAGCCACAGCGTCAAGCTGCGCACCGCAGCAGCGGGCGGCTGAGTGGACTACTCCACTGCCAACGGCAAATGCAGAAGCTTTACTGACCGGAAAATACTTCCAGTGGGGAAAAGGTGACAAAAAGTAAACACACTTCCTCCACCTCAGAAGCTCAAACTATGGCTCTCAAGAAGATAGAAGGGCCCGTGAAGCGCAAGCTTCGGTGGAGTCTGAATAGACCAAAACTAAAAAGAAGCGAGTCAACTTTGGTAACGTGTTCCTGAGGGCTCCATACGGAAGAAGGACGTACCACTGGCCTCCGCCCCCAAAACCAGTTTGGCAATGTTTCGAGTGTCTCTCGGAAGCTTCCTAATGCTCCCCTTCAAGTTAGCGGACTCCAAATATACATTAAAAACTATTGCAAAACGGAGCTGAAAGCTTGGAAAATATTTCCCCAAGAAGGTAACTATTCCAGAATCAGGACAGTGCATGTGCTGCTCGAGCGCTCCACTGTCTCAGTGGCGACTCATTAGATAGCAGATCCTCTTTATTTTTACTCCCCTAAGGAATATTCCCCTTTTGCTACCTTTGAATCAGTTATTTTCCAAGCCATTAAAGCATAACATCAACAGGCCTTGCAGAAGTAAGGAGAAAGCTCGTCCATTTGCTGGTGAGCGTTGAGCGTTGTTCGAGACAAACCGCTAAGACCACCAACGGTCTCAGCAAGATGCATATCTCGGGCCCCCGAGTATTAGTGCGATTTTTTTGCCAGTAATACCTTGATGATACTTCAGTTGTGCAGAAATAATTGTAAAGTCGCCCAACATACGACGTTTTAAACTGGATGTTGCAGCAGAAGGTGCACAGGGGTCAAGCGACTGTAACATTGACAGTGCATTTAGAGGGAGTTCACAAAGTCAAAGATATGCAAAAGCTCCCTATTAAATACGATTTAGGGCCCATTTCATGTAGCGTTGCAATGAGTGAAATACTTGAGGCAAGCAAACAAGCACGCCAATCACGCCAAGGTAGCACTGGCTACCAAAGAGCAGTATCCTGCGGACGATTACTCTCAACTTACTACTCTAAAGCTGTGTAGAAATAAGGACTAGGTTGTAACCCGCACACAACGTGCGCTGATAGCGCTGAACACTTCCTGGCTCTAGTCATGGGAAAGCTACTAGTGGTCCTTATTGTTTTGGTCAAGTCGTAAACTTAAGAGGACGTGAAAGAAATCAATGTTGTCCAATGGAACAAAGACGCTCGAAAGGACGCAACGAACTTGTGTTCCCCCCCGCAGCGTAATGAGTTGATGGTAGCTGGGCAGAACAGTTTTATCTGAAAGCTGTCCTCTCTTGTGAGGAAGCAAGGTTTTCGTTGCCTAAAGAGCTTTCATCTTCCAGCTATGCATGCAACAAGAAAGTAAGTGGTGCTACCGCTTGGCTGCGGAACATCTGTTTGGAGAGTTCTGGAGTCTCTCGTGGCTCCACTTTGCCAAGAGATTAGAGTTGAAGTTCTGTTACTTTGAGTTCCCAGCAATCTAGTATCTGGAAAGACTGTATTTGACTGGTGACACCAAGGGAGAGTGGAAAAAGAAGCATTGCTTGACTGAAGACGCTTTCCCCTCCTGGTTGTAGCTTATACCCGAAATATTGATTAATTGCAAACATTCATTTAAAACATCCCCGAGTCAGCTCGAATATAGTGGCAGGTTCCAGAGGCCTCATTATGAAGGAGAAGGAAACATCAAACTCCGCTTCTCAAGTGGAGGAGCTGTTTATTAGTGGCACTTTCGTGTGTGAAGGAAACGACATGAACTCCTCAGTTTAATTGGGGCACGAGCAGCGAATATTAGCATCGGGGAAAGAAATAATAGACAATGAACTTGGGGATAAAATATCCGGGAAAGAATAGCAAAGGCTACAACACGCTGTAAGTGGACCCCCTTCAACCCAGATAAAACCCGGTGACAGAGAATAGTCTAGGCTACAAATAACGAGTCCCTAACGTGGCCAACCAAGATTGGGAACAACCTAGCTAACACTGAAGCATCCATAAATCAAAGCTGCTTAACCCTGTCCACGGCCGAAAGGCTCCGGAAACCTTTACAAACAATCAAGAGCGGCCACACCGGCATCACGCGGTTGGAAATCTCTTAACTAAGGTGTCCTTATGGAAAGAGCAGCCAAGTGAACAGAAGACGAGAACTCTTAAGACGGACTTAATCAGCCACTACAGCAAGAAAAGAGAGCCATGAAATGAAAGCGGGTCACCAACCGAAGGTCGTCACGATCAGTGGGCCGCAGCGTATAGAAGTGCCCAATCCGCTATTAAAAGCTGAAACGACAATTCAGATTGCAATGGCATTTCGTTGTAAAAGGTCCCGACAGTTAGGTTCGCAGCGCCGTTTTCACTGTGCAGCTTACTGTGCAGCCATCTAGGTTCTTCCCGCAACGCGGCAGTTTTTACTAACGAATCCAGCTGAAATTAGTCCCATAAAATGTAGCTAAAAGTTTCATGCTATAGTTTAAATGTGGAGACGTTTTGAAGGCGGATCAATGGCCGCAGCGCTACCCAAAAAGGCTGGTTGTAAACGAAAGCTACAATGAGCTAGCCCACCGCGCTTTGAAGGCGTGCTAGAACCCGAAAATTCTGGGGGCCAGTTTTCTCTCGTGATGAAAAAGTGCATGCATGTTATACTGAAAGTGTTTCAGCCTACAGAAATGTCACAGCAGCCGAAACCAACCTATCTATGAACAGACAGCCACAGCTCTTCACGACCACAGCTACAACGCTGCATGATGGGGCCCATCGCACGGAGTAATTCTGCTCTACAAGATCCCTTTCCTGTAAATTCACCTTTTTATGTCACGTAGTGTCAAAGACAAACTAGAATTGAGGCCTTGATCCTATCACGGGCACTCAGAAGAAGTCCTGTAGGTAAGCAGAGCTGCGCGTGCGGCCGTCAGCAGCCACCCAGCACCACCACCGCCACAACCCCTGAAATGCTCCCTCCGTTGTGCAAGCCTCCATTGCCTTGATTCTCACAGGCGAAAGCTTCTCTTCTTTGGCTTTCTTATACTCAATTTTCTCGAGAGACTGTTCTGTCGAGGCAGGAATCGGCACAGTTGCGTGCGCCTGCTGTCTGGTGCCCCTTCTTGCCTGCAGCAGGGCGCTGACACGTCGCCGTCCTTTGCGTGCAGTTGCCTTTCCCTGCCACTTCTTTCTTTCGCGAAAATGAGAGAAATCGTTCACGTTCAGGGCGGCCAATGCGGCAACCAAATTGGCGCCAAGTTCTGGGAGGTTATTTCGGATGAACACGGCATAGCCCCGGTGAGGAGCCCCGCATTTTTCTCGGATATACCGCAGTTCATGTTGGTGCACATGAAGATTTTATAAGCACTCATCAGCTTCTTACTAGATACAGTTTCATTCAGCTTCCAGAGCCGCGATTTCTCCCTCTGGATGGGTGCATTAGTGGGTCCAGCGGGCGGCGTGTCCCGTGCGCCTAGCCATCGGCTGCCGCATCCATGAAAAAAAGCGGTTGCCTCGCCTTAATTCACTTCGGCATCTGCAATACTTTTTCATTTTATTATGTATCAATTCATGGTGATGCTTCCCCCTGAATCTTTCAGCGCTCAGTAGTACATTGATCCGCTTGCATCCAGCGCAGGCCCCAGGGGGCCGCTGTGGAATGCAACGCAGTAGGAAAAAGTTTCACGACTTTTCAAGAAGTCTAAAGATTTCTGTGGTGACTGAGCAGCGTGGAAGTGTACTTGCTTGCTAGGGAACCGTTGCATCTGGAGCAGACCGCGGAGACCGTCTGCAGGCCTGTGCGTCATCCTGTTTGCTTTCCCTTTGAAATGTTTCGCAGACCGGCACGTACAAGGGTGACAGTGATCTCCAGCTCGAGCGCATTTCAGTCTTCTACAATGAAGCTACGGGCGGACGCTACGTGCCCAGGGCCGTCCTCATGGACCTGGAGCCCGGCACGATGGACTCTGTGCGATCGGGGCCTTTCGGGCAGCTTTTTCGCCCCGACAACTTCGTGTTCGGCCAGACCGGCGCGGGCAACAACTGGGCGAAGGGTCATTACACTGAGGGCGCGGAGCTGATCGACTCAGTGCTCGACGTGGTGCGGAAAGAGGCGGAGGGCTGCGACTGCCTACAGGGCTTCCAGGTCACGCACTCGCTGGGAGGAGGCACGGGGAGCGGCATGGGAACGCTGCTGATCAGCAAAGTCCGCGAAGAATACCCCGACAGGATCATGGAAACCTTCTCGGTGTTCCCGTCGCCGAAGGTGTCGGACACTGTGGTGGAGCCGTACAACGCGACGCTTTCCGTGCACCAGCTGGTCGAAAACGCAGACGAGGTTCAGGTCATTGACAACGAAGCACTTTACGACATTTGCTTCCGCACTCTGAAGCTCACGACCCCCACCTACGGGGACCTCAACCACCTGGTCAGCGCCGCCATGTCCGGGGTGACTTGCTCGCTGCGCTTCCCGGGCCAGCTGAACTCCGACCTCAGGAAGCTCGCCGTCAACTTGGTGCCTTTCCCGCGTCTGCACTTCTTCCTCATTGGCTTCGCCCCGCTGACCAGCCGCGGCTCCCAGCAGTACCGCGCCTTGACTGTGCCCGAACTCACCCAGCAAATGTTCGACGCCAAGAACATGATGTGCGCCTCGGACCCGCGCCACGGCCGCTACCTGACGGCCTGCGCGCTTTTCCGCGGCCGCATGAGCACCAAGGAGGTCGACGAGCAAATGCTGAATGTGCAAAACAAGAACTCCTCCTACTTCGTCGAGTGGATCCCCAACAACATGAAGTCGGGGGTCTGCGACATCCCGCCAAAGGGGCTCAAGATGTCCGTCACCTTCGTCGGAAACTCAACCGCCATTCAAGAAATGTTCAAGCGCGTGTCCGACCAGTTCACGGCCATGTTCAGGCGCAAGGCTTTCCTCCACTGGTGAGTTTCCTAGCAACTCTGCATGCAGCGCTCTCCTTTCAGCATGCACGCACTTTCAATAAACTCCGAATGGCTGTGCACTTCGCTCCGTTCAGGTACACTGGAGAGGGTATGGACGAAATGGAGTTCACCGAAGCCGAGTCTAACATGAACGATCTGGTATCTGAATACCAGCAGTACCAGGTGGGTTTGGTGATTTTAATGCTGCGTCAGAATTTCGTGTTTGGTTGCGGGTAGAAAGAATGGCTTTTGCCTCGCTTTCATTCCATTTTCTCAGGATGCAACCGCCGAGGAGGAAGGCGAATTTGACGAGGAAGAGGGGGTCATGGACGCAGAGGGCGCAGCGTAAAAAGGTGGAATTAATTGGCTCGCTTCTTTCTCTCGTCTCTAGGGATGCTTTAGTTGCGGTTTCGGAGGCAGTCCTACGGACTGCCCCGGCACTCCGCATTTTCCCCAGCACGTCACAGATGTATTGCATCAGCGAAATTGTGTTGTGTCGCCGTGCCGGCCAAATCGTTGAGGGGAATCCGTGTAGTTGCGCAGCGAGAAAAACACAAATCGTTTATGTAGGGAATTGTCAAAGCAGGGGAGCGACCGGCGAACCCGAAAGATGCCGTTCGCACAACTGAAAGGTTTTGTCTTTTGGCTCAACGAACCTCAGCTGATGCACGGGAATTAATCTGCGTAGCCAGTGTCCGCTATTTGCTGAGCGCGCCTTCACTGGCGCGCTCTGTTGTCTGGCATTCAGACACTCTACAAATAGCTGATGTTGCCCTCAACGGCGACGGCACAGAACGCTGCTGCTGAAAGGGAGTTGGGTCCCGTCCCGGGGTCTGCCAGCTCCATTATTCATTATTTAGTGCTGGATTTGGCGCACACTATTTTCTATTCTTGCTGCATACGTGTCAAGAGATGTTCGACTATGTGTCGTCTCGAGAGTGAGCAGCAACGCCTTTTAGGGGACTGGGTAGAAGTCAACGGTAACGCGAGTAGGGAAACTGGAGCAAAACGAGGCGTAGTCAAGCCTAGTTCTCGAGGAATGCACTTTAATGAAATAATCTTGTTACTGTTTTCTACAGTTGATGACAGATCGGAGCCAGGTTCTGTGGTTTCCGCTCTGGTGAGGTGCAGTGTCAGTGACAGCGCCGGCACTGACAAGCAGCTGCTGCCGGTAACACTCAGCAGCCACATTAACCCCCTCTGGATGCAGCTTTTTTTTCCTTTTCCCTTACATCTAGAAGTGCTCGGTCCAGCTCCAGCACAACGCGGGCGAGAGCCTCAGGGTGCACCCCCTGCTCCAGCATTTTGGTCAAAATGGTCAGGGATTCCCTATCAAGTCCCGTGTTGAGGATATTTGAGATCTCCATCAAGAGGTCTTCTCGCGTAGTAGTGTCATTCTCGCAATCCAACATGACCATGTTGTTAGTGGGTACAGAAAAATGCGCTTAATGCAACGAAGTCTGTCGGAATCTTCTGCTGAATGGCCTTCCCCGGCATCGAAATATGATCCCGCAAACAGCCAACCCACAGAAGAGCCAGCCATGGGATGGCCATTTAGGCAAAGGACAACATAGCTCTGAAATGAAGACACGGTGTGAAGGAAGACATCGAACCACTCTTGAACAGAATGCTGGCAATGTGCTGCTTACGTTGCCAGGTACTTCAGCACAAGTTATTTGCAAGCTTTGTAAATCTCTATACAACGCAAATAAATGACGCTGTATTCAGTGTATTCAGTGACAGACACCACAGATACGATTTGCAGCCACCGCCGCCGCCAGGCGCATGCGAACTTGTGTAGGCCCCACCACTTAGCAGAATTAAATTTTATACAGCAAACCTATTACAACGCAAAGTCTCAACTCGTTTAATTGTAAAAGAAAGTAAACTGCGTGGTTAATTATATAACAGTTGGTCAAATGCAAATTTTCGGAGCGGCCGGCTGGATGGCCGAGTGGTCTAAGGCGCTGCGTTTAGGCCGCAGTCCGCAAGGGCGTGGGTTCGAACCCCACTCCAGTCATTTCTTTGATGAATCTGTTCTTTTCTTGATCAGGCTCTGCTCAACCACGTTTTGCCGATCAAATTGTACTTACAGGCTGCGCTAACTTGCATTCGTGGGGCCCTTGCACAGGGGTAGAACAGCAAATAGCTGAGCATCACTGCAGCGACACTGAAGCCACGCAACACGTTGTGCTACCCAAAATGCTTTCCCAGCACATGTGCTGACTTGTTTGTTGGAAAGCGAATGCCTATTGCGTTGGGGCAGCTTCTCTTTGGGCCGCGCTGCCAACGCACATTTGAAATGAAGCGTTTTGTTCGTCGTGACAGCTGAAGTGTTCAATAATTTAACAGCAGCAGCTGCTGTGGCATAAACTGTGCTAGCATTTTAGTTTCTGAATGATGCTGTGGAGCTGACGCCAAGTGGGCTGGGCTTCGTTGAATGATTGCGAATTCATTTCGAAAGTCACGCCTGCTCACCAACAGAGTTTGAAATGTTGCAAATTAACATCCAGAGGGAAGTCTACATCAACTGCATGCATTAAAGAGCTTCGATTTTCATGTTGTGACGTTAAAAGGCCCTTTCACTGAAGTGTGCAAAACTGAATGAGGACATCCAAGGCCCTGAAACTCTCTTCTTTGCACTCTCTTGCAATGATGATGGTTATTAACGACTAATAACAGTTCAGTCGGGCCATATGATGGCTCAAATGTTGCAGCCACGCCAAGTTTGCACCTTTCTCCAATTAGAATACTGGCCAGATTGGCCGAGGACAGTATTGAAGGCTTCCTGTGTAATGAAATTATCTGAACATGCCTCCCGTCTGCAGCTCTGCATGCGCCATACGTAAATTTCTTAATTGTATTGACCAATTACCAGCCGCACTAGCGAAATATGAATTGCTGATGAGACAAATGCCATAATTTAGACAAAAATACTATGTCCACCGTGCCTGAATGGTCTGCAGTTTATTTTTAAACGCTTCAAATACCTGTGTTGATTTGTTCCACAAAGTAGCATGAGGTATCTTCAATGCGCTTGAACAGTAGAAAAGTTGGCTGGTATCGCCTTCGTGGGGAACTTGAGCCATTACTAAAATAAAAATTACAGAATGAAGCCTCTTTAGACGAGGTGAAAAGGCAAACAACTGCCGGCCTTCAATGCATTCGATGCGGAACTGTGTCGCAATACATGGCATGCATTCAGCGTTTCAGGGAAAATGACATCTGCATAAACGCACTTTTATGTCAGAAGAGTTGTAGAGGAAATTACGTGGAAAATTTTTTTTTTGGCTTCTCCTGTGGATGTGGGGGCTCAAGCTGGGGCTGAGAACTCCCGTTGTGCCTACGGCCGCTGCTGTCTAGAAGGCACTTGTATGTCTTCTGACACATTATAAATTCACCCATTCTATCTTTATTCCACATACTTTGTCCACTTCCCCACTTTGCTCAGCTAGCACGCCCCAAATACCTGCAAAGTAACCGGGGAAGTACCTATAATTTTGCTCCTTCTTCGCAAGCTAACAAATTAGATACGCCTAATGTCCTCATTCTCTCCTACTAACAAATTAGATACATCAAAAGTCCTGTTCTCTAACTCTTAAGGACTTGTACCAGTAAATTCTACAACTAACGCTTTCCCAGCGTGGCTTCATGTTTTGCAACTACCATCACACAATGTGCCGCATTTAGATGTGAATGAGGCTTCCAGTATAAAATTATTAAAAATAAAAGTTTGAATTTCTGGGTCCATATACGCAGCATGCGCAATGGCGCAGAGCCAACCACCTAGCCCGAGTGCTCGCAACAATGTGATGACCTGCACATGAAAATAACACCTCAAACGGTCTTACGGCCCCGCTGTTTGCTGCAACTCAGTTTGCTGCAACTCAGTTTGCTGCAGCAGTTCAACTGACCCAAGCTCGGACCATTATGGTTCAGAAAACTTCATCCATTAACTGACTGTTGCCCGCCACCCAATGCAGATTCGACTCGACAGCATCAATCCTAAATTGCTACAGAATTTCACTTGCCACATCAATCCTATATTGCTACAGAATTTCACTTGCCAATGACGTTGCTTGACAACGCAGCGATAACTGTACACTATCCTTGAAGACAAGGCACATGCAAGTTTACCGTTGCAAGAATGGCTAACAAATTGCAATAAGCTTTGAGCCAGGCTATTCACGAACAGCCTTGTGCAGATATGTTGACACGATTGCGCACACTTTCTTGTGCCTCATGTCTGAAATGAATAAAACCCATGGAGCGACAAATGCAGCAGTACAGGGGCAACAGCAGCAGCAGCAAGACTGCAGTGTCTGTCATTCATGCGCCGAATCCAAGCACCTCAGTGGTCCATTCATTGTCCTCCTCTTGAAAAGAACGGGGAGGACCCACGCTGAGTCCTTGTAAAGAAGAAAACAAAATGCTCTATTGAATTTGATGAAGGCAACCACACGTAAGCTACCAGGAGTCTTGTTTTCGCACGACCTCGTCTGCAGTCAAGGGTGCTCCGGCGCTTGCGTCAGGTCCCAGCGAGTTTCACTAAACTGTGCAAATCTATTGTCAGCGGAAGATTCCTGAGATTGCGCTCTGGAAAGCTGATTAATTCTCAGTAGTATTGTCCTTCTTGCTTTGGGCTTCAGAGTCCGGGTTCCAGAACCTCGAAGTCACCTGAATGCGCGGCGGCGTGCTGTTCTGAATGTCGCTGCTGGAAGATTCCGACGGAGTCCTTGTCCGGGACATCTCCAGCAGCGCGTGGCCGAGCCCCAGAGGGGCCCGCGCCGCAGCGCCGTTGGCATTTGTTGGACTAGTTCGACTTGGGCTGCCGCGGGTTTCGTTTCGGGTTGTTCCTGCTTCTGGTTCTGGTGGTGCGGCCGCGGGCTCTCGCGGCTCAGGCAAAGCAGCAGCAGCAGCTCTCGGCTCCGGGGAACTCGTCTCGCTCCGAAAAGACGAAGATTCCTCTGGACTCGACGTCGAGCTGCTGACAACTGCTGCTGGCTCAGCAGCAGCAAGGGCCTCGGCAAGGCGTTCAGCTTCTGCAGCCGGCTCGTAGTCTGTGGGAAGACGGCGGGGGCTCGAAGACAAGCTGTGGCTGGGAGAAGAACTTGGGCTGGTGCTGCTGCTGGGCACTGGAGATGAGACGCTGGGGCTGGCTGTCTCGTCGTGTGCCGGCGTCGGTGCAGTTGGGCCAGCGTCGCCTCTTTGCCTGCTGCCAGGGAATCCCTCGCGCTGCAGCAGCCTTCCTGCTGCTGCTACTGCTGCTGGCCCAAGTGAAGCTGGCGGGTGGTTGCTTGTTTCTCGCTGGGCTGCTTCGCCTCCAAGTCTGCTGCTGCGAGGCCCCGGGGCTGCTGCTTGCAGCGCCTCCTGCCCCCGAGAAGCTGGACGAGGAATATATTCGTTGAAACGATCTCGCTGCAGACGCAAGAAGCCCTGCGGGCCCGAATCCACGCCGGCAAGAGAAAGTTGCATACGGTCCAGAGGGCTGTAGCCGTTCATGAATGGAGGCTGGCGGGGTGACAGTCCAAAATCTCGTTCTGCAGGCCTCCAGCGCGGAGGCACAGCGGCGAAACCCTCAGCCAGAACTGCCTCTTCCTGCGGGCTGTAGAACTTCATAGACGCGAAGCCAGATTCTTCTTCCCCGATCGAGCTTGGCGAGGCTTCGTGCTGCAAGTCGACTCTCGCTGCAGAGGCTTCCGCCAGCTCGGACTCCAGTCCGACGAAGTCGGGGTTTTCCATCCTGAAGAGTCGGAGGAAGTCCTCACGGTCCAGCACTTGTTGCGCAGTTGCGCCGTTCAGCAAGTCTGTGTACTCAGCAGCAACCTCCTCCGCGCTGATGCGCTTGCTGCGGTCTGTTTCCAGCAGCCGAACCACCAGTTCCCGCCACCTCCGCGAAACCCCGCTGCTTTCCATTTTCACATCCATCTCGTCGACATTGGCGGTCTCCCGCAGCTGCACGACGTGCGGGATGGCGCTTTCGTCGGACGGGATGTCGGAAAGCCCGAAAGGCAATTCTCCGTCCATCAGAATCTGGTGCAGCACAATTCCCAAACTCCACATGTCGGCCTTCGCATTGGCTTCCGCGAGACCCTTGCAGTCTTCGTAGCACCAGAGGTTCGCGAGCAGTTCAGGTTCCGTGGTCAGTGGCGAGATGCCCACGTTGTCTGGAATGACTTCGCCAAAAGGCACACTCGACTGAAGACCCAGCAACAAAACAGATCCATCTTCTTGAACTCCGAAACTTCTGCAGTTCAGTCCGTTGTGGCTCCAGCCCGCCTGCTGCATGTGCAGCACAGTTTTCAGAACGCTCCGCGCGATGTACGCCTTGGTGCCGGTGGGCGGCAGTTGAAGAGCGTCGAGAGCATCTTGCAGGGAAACTTCCACGTTTTCCGTGAGTTCAACTGCAGACATTACACTTAAACCTCCGTAGCGCAGAATTTTCGGGAATCCGTCTATCCGCGCCATGAATCGAGTGGGAGCAATTCCCTTTTCCTGCGCTGCGGAAGCCAGCGGGGTGCTGCCGCTGATGCCAAGGCTGGCCTGGGCCACCCTGATCATTTGCGGGGAAACGCTGGTCTTTGCCGTGGAAAGAGCGAGGTTTTCGAAGTCATTGGGGAGAAAGTTGATGCGCATGGCAGCAGAACCCTCGGTTTCTCGATCCTGCACCTCGAGCAGCACGCTCTGGTACCCCTGGTCGATGAAGCGGGTCACCACGTAGTCTTTGGGCTCATCCAGCTGTTCGCCAGTGCCAACTTCGGTCACTTGACTCAGCCGAATTGTCATTCCCAGCAGTTCCTCCGATTTCCCCTTGGAAAGCGCCTTCGCCACAGCCTCCATCACCGTCTGCGCGTCGCCTTCGGGCTCTATGTGCCCCCCCTGGACCAGCTGGTTGCTGATGTCTGCCAAGACGCCCCTGACGAGTTGATTCGTCACAGTGTCTCTTTCTTCTGGGGGGTGCACGGGGGGCACTTGCCACTCGGCTGCGGGGGTGGGCAGGCTGGCCTGGGGCTTCACGACGGACTCCCAGGAAAGCTGCTGCTTCGTCTTCGCGAAAGCCGACATCAAATACATGAAAAGCACTATTGTCGGAACTGCGAGGCCCCCAACTGCCAAGTAGTTCCACAGGCGGCGCGCGCGCTGCGCCGAAGGCAGCAGCACAGTACCGCTGGCCGCCGTCGAAGGGTCCTCGTCTAGAAGCTGAACATCCTCCCTTTCAAGTCCTGCGGAAGAAACCCCCACCCCCTCGGGCTCCTTCCCGGGCCCTCCAGGTAGACTCCACTGTCCGTAGTAAGGTTCCATGTTGAACGTGCAAGAAAGCACTTGTTCGGAGCCGCGAGCGGTGAGCGGTCGGTGTACAGAATGCGAACCAAACGGCGGAGTGTAGTGGCTGCGCGCCAATTAGGGCAAGATCAACTGCCCAGCCGGCTCCAACGCAGCAAATGAAAACAAAAACCTGCAGAAAAAGGTCCCTGGGCTCGCGTCTTGGGGAATTGGCCTGGGACTCCCCCGCTCAAAGCGTCTCGCGCCTCTCACAAAAAGGAAAACGCAACGAGCAGCCTGTGGGCAAGTCCCAAACCCCAGTCACTATGTCCTCTTAGACTGTAGTAAAGTAATTGATTGAGAAATTCGATCTGCTGAGCCACGAAGTGGAGCGGCTTCGGTTCGGACGAGTGTCGCTGCCAGCCAAATCGATCGATATGCGAGCAACGGAGCGTTGCCCGACAGTTTAAAAAGAAACAAACGGAATATTCATGTGCAAAAAAACAAACAAAGCCGAATTAAAAATATTACAATCTAAAAGAACAAACTGAACTGAAGGACCTCACTAGATCAGCGACTCCCACGGAAGCCCGCCAGTATGACCTAAGGGCGTCAGCTGCGGTCAATCGCTCAGGCCCTGTCAGAGTTCCTTGCTTTCCACCGCTTCCTCCTTGCTTTCTGTACAACTCCATCATTTTTAACTGCTTTATTAGCAGAGCTGCCATTCAATAAAAGGCCTTAATAAAGCGACTATTTCAAATGCACGGGGGGAGCTGGCGGATACGAAGCACGTAACAGCTCAGAACGATAATCCATACGCACAACAGAAAGCGGGGTGAGGTATTTTCTGCATTGTTTCTGCTCTTTGTTATTTTATCTCTGGCTATTTTGTTTTCCTTCGCGAAGTTCTCTAATTACGTGCTCCCAGAAGCACTGAGGACAGACGGGTGGCATGCGAGCTCAACTACAGGCAGTGCACTGCTGGTGCAGCACGCGTGCTCATTGTTTCTAATTAATGCATTAACACTCACTTTTAACAACTTGGATATTACTTGTGAGATTTACTTACAGCTTTTGCTGCCGGATCGCCAGCACGCGTGGCTCTCCCTACACCCCCACGGGGGCTCGTTCGTGCGCATGCTACGCCCATTTCCTGAACAAGTCCAAGCGAGAAATATATCTATAACTGAGACAATGTCCTTAACACTCAGCGAGAAATTCAGCACTTCTGAAATTGGCCAGCTGCAGAGGCATCACACTTACTTGTGGCCAATTTTGGCTGAAAACCTGAAAATGGAGCACGGCAAAATGCAAACAGTGCACACAGATAAGTCAACTTAATACGTCTTGAGACAAAAGTGTGTTAATTTTATGAGATCAAGCCTGAGTGGATTCTGACGCTGCATCGCTCCCCCCTTTCTGCACAGCTTGTGGGCAGCTCACCTCTACCACTGCAGCTCACCAATTTGAGTAATTGAATTGTCTTTACCATATCTTCCTAATGTTCTCCTCAAAAGAGGAACGCTCTCTTGATATATTCACGGAAACACACAACAGTACGCAGCAGCTAGTGAGCTAGAAGGCGTATGCACCATCGAAGTATATTTGACTCGGGCGCACATGCATCGTTTATAGCTGTTTCAGTGCTTTCCGAAATAATATAAGACTATTTCGTTGCAAGTTTAGCACTTTATGAACACATGCAGCACCTGAACGCCAAGTTATGAGTCGATCCTCTCTTTTCCGGGGTATTGAACACGATCTGAAGTCGCTAGATTCAGCAACATCGGCAAACAGCGCTTTCACTCACATGAAAGTCCTTCCATTTCCTTCTATAAACCTAACTCAGCAACATCAGCAAACAGCCCTTCCACTTGCATGAAAGCTCTTTATCTCTTCCTATAGACCTAATTTTCCGTTCTTAGTCGAGCATCTGCATGTCTCAATTCGATCTTCGCTGCAACAGCCACGGGGTAGCAGAAAGAGCGATCTCGATCTGCTGCATGCAGAAACGGCGGACACATTTGCAAACGAAAGAATAAACGAGATATTTGGAAGATTAAAATCATTAAATTCAGCGTTTACCCTCTGCACATCAGCCGTCGGCAGTGCAGGATTCCACAGCGCGAATTCGAAGTGGCATTTGCCTAAATTTCGGAAATTCAAAATTGAAAATAAGTTTACAGGACAGAAAATGCATTAAAATGCCGTTTTTGCAGAATATTGAGCATCTTTCTCTACACTGGCAGCCCGCACCTCCTTTAGCTACCTCGTGAGCGGCGCCTTTTGGCACTTTTATCTTCAATTTCTCAAATTAATTATGAATATTGCAATATTTTCAAGAATAAATGTAAATAAAGGCTTTAAGATACTGCTTTCTCCCTCTGCCGCGAGGATTAGCTGCCCTGGCTGCTAGAGCTTTCCCCAAGATGCTTACTGGTCTTCGTAAAAGCCTTATGAGATCATCATTTGAAACAAATGCAGAAAAGAACTTCTTTCCAAAACTGGAAATGCTTATTCTTCATCTCCTTCTAAGCCCTTTAGACCTCGTACCATTCATATAATTTGTACAATTAACAGCCGTGCCAGAATATGCTTCATCGTTTTTGTATCATCAATTTGAATGATGAATGCATTATTGCAGAAATGAAGTCGAACATGAACGAATAACCTTGTTATAAAGGACTTCATCAACTCCTAGTGTTCAAAACTTATTTGTAAAGCTGCTTTTGCATTACGTTTCTTCATTTAATCCCTGAAAAAGTCAATTCGAATTGCTTTGTTCACAATATTTTGCTTGGCAGCTTTCAAATTCGACTGAGTCTGGTGCTTCTGCATGCACCATCCTGCGCCACTCCGCCTGAATGATGTCTAAATATTTGAGAATTATATAATTGAAAATAATACTTTTGAATTATAAACAGATATAGGGGAGGAAATGACGGAAAGAATGCGGATCAAGCCGGAACCGCTGGGAGCACTTTTCATACAAGAAAGCACAAGCAGCAGTTGCTCCTTCGTTGCGCTGTGCCATCTCTGTCTTTTCCTCGCGAGTTACAACAGAACAAGAGGAAAATAGAAGTTATAATTATCCAGAGTTCGTGAATTGAGAGAGAGGAAGCGAAAAAATTCAGAGAAGTGGCACAGGAAGGAACATTTCAAATAAAGCAGCAGACCAGAAAAATGATGGCTCCTCTCTCCCTACGGGCCGCCAACAAGTCCAAAACCGTTTGCATTTTCTTTTACTTTTCATCTGTTTGAGTTTTAAATTAATCGCGGAGCTTTGTGGCGTTATTTTCGTTCCAGATGTATCCCACGATGTATGGGATCCACCCATGGTACTTCCTGTCTGCATCAGGGGCACCACACGCGCTGTTTCACTCAGTCCTGACGCTTACAATCATATATAAATATATTACATTAATGAGCAGTTCTTAGGGATATTTATTCCATCAATATTGTTGTCATTCAGCGCACAAAAGTAGTAGTAGCAGCAGAATGAATGCTGCAGTGGTAGCAGCTGCTGCGCCCGCCGCTCAGGGTTAGGCGAGCCAGGCCACTTAATCACGAAAGAAATTTCGCTGAATTCAAATTTGTTGAAAGTCTATCTATTTTATTCGGCTTTTTCCGAGAGCGATTTGTAATTTCTGCATGCGTCACCGCCCCCAGGACCGCCGCCGCCTGCCTCGCCAGACAGCGGAGTCTGCGGGAAACATGCTGAAACTGGAAACTGAAACAAAAGAGAAAAGGAGTTTTAAAAGAAAGGACTTTTTTTGGGTCTGCAATTACGCAAGTTCTTTCGTGCAAAGCTGCGATCCTCCAAGATCGCCGGCAGCGGTTGCATTGTACAGATGCACTCCTGCGAAACTGAGCCGCTAATGCGCAAAAGGCGAGCCTAAACCCAATTAATTAGTTATATTATTTGGAAAAATATGAATTAAATTGGGTTTTCCCCCGTAGAAGAACACGCACAGCTGCAGCACGGCTAACAGGCAGCAGCGAAACGCCGCTGCTGCCATGGCTGGAATGGCCGGAGCCCCAGAGCAGCAGCAGCAGCAGCTGCTGCTGCATGAGTGGCTGCTGCTGTTTCCTTTTGCCGACATTGAAGACTTAAGCTCTTTACTGGAATAGCTCGTTCCTACCTGCTGCTGCTGCAGCGCCGAGCCCGCACATTGGGTTTCCTCTGCTGCTGCAGCTGCTGCTGCTGCTCCAGGCACTCCTTTGCTGCTGCAGCAACAGCGCTGCAATGTCCGGCCTCTTCTCTTCTTCTTTTCCTTGTCAGCTGGCGCTCTGCTTCCTCTTGCTGCTGCATGCAGACTCGCGGGCCGGCGCAGCTGCCTGCAGCAAATTCAACTGAGGCCACGGCAGCAACAAAGGCAGCAGCAACGGACACAAGCGCCACCAGCGCATGCATGCAGAACCCCAGCTCCCGCTGCTTCTAGCTGCATGTCTGGGCGAGCTCAGGTGCAGCAGCAGCAGCAGCAGCAGCGGCAGCAGCAGCGGCAGCAGCAGCAACCCCGCAGCAGCAAGAAGCAGCGCCTCCGCCTTTCGCGCTCCTCTCGCCTGCAGCTGCTGCTGCAGACAGAGCCTTTGCTGCAGACTGGCGCTGCTGCCTCGGGCTTGAGCCCCGAACCCCAAACCCCCGCTAGGGTTTAGGGTTTAGGGTTTGGTTTGGCCGCGAAGCAAGTAGAAACCCTAGCCTCTAAATGCAGCAGCAGTTATGAATCTTAAGCTGACGTGGCAAAAGCGCAGTGGCTGCCCCCGCTGTTTATGAACACCCCAGAGCAGCAGC